CATTCTATGGAAGAACGGGAATTCCTTCTTTCCGCTAAACTCAATTCTGTCAACTTTTCACCCGGCTCGTCTTCAGACTGCTGCTTTCCTCAAGATTCTTGTCAACCAGCCTGTCACTCACAATTTACATTATATATATCGCCTACTTTAGGTGCTAAACATATTGTTTTGGACACAGTGCGTGGCAGAACGTCCTTGAATAGATACTGGAGAATCGACCACATGAAGGCACCCGGCCTTCAGATAGGGGACACCAATCTGCAACGAGCATTATCTTCGATAACGCTACAACCGAGCATCAAATATGTAAAGAAGCATTAGGTTTAGGCATATGTACAGGTGAAGATCATTCAATAGCATCGAAACATTATGTACACGATGTCTCTAATACGTATCACAGACTTACTCATCCAGGTGCGCGCGAAACAGTCAGGCTTATGTCAGAAGGATTAGGCTAGTTAAGTGGTGACCGAGTCGAGAGTGACTATGGTCACCACTAAATACTAATTACTAGCCTGTCATTTAAAACATAAGTAATTCCAGGGTAAAGAATACATTTGAACACGAAATTGGGCGACTAGAAGAGCAGCATGTAACGAGTGATCTCAGCGACGCAAACAGAAAGTTGCGCGTAAGTAATTGTTTTTAATGCAGTTAAACAAAAGCAGTACAATACAAAAGTTATTGCTACAGTTGTATAAAATAATTAATCTGCAATGTTGTAAAGGTTTGTGGTAAACGCACTGTGGCTGAATTTGTCTAATCAACAACACCCCCAATTTCTGAAAAAATTCCTGAGTCCTTAATCCCCGATGAATCCGGATGCTTGCGTACTCAACGCTTTCGGTGAAATCTGTTTGGACTGCACCAAAACTAACAGTTGTTTCTGTTCAACTCACCTTACGATCTAGTGCACACCTTCCCATACGGCAGAAACCATTAAATCAACACTTCCTAGAAGAACTTAAGCACTATATGAGTGATAAGAACCGAATTAAAGATATTGTTATCAATGGGGTAGAATCCTCTGACAAAAAAGACGCACCCTGGTGGAAGTAGAAGGTTCCCAGAGGTTTAAAATAATTAATTCATGCAGAACCTTTCACAAACTGATTCTTGCATTATCTCTTCTACCGTTTTTTCGACCAATAGACTGGATTTGCAATTTTTATCGTATCAAAAGCTGCAAAAGTACTTGAAATAACTTTCTTTTATTGTGCTCATTTGTTTGTATAATTTTTTCATGAAAAGTAATCATTTATATGTGTTTTTTCCAGTCGTTGTATGGTAAAAATTCACATATAATCCTTTTTTCTCTCACACTGTGCCTGCTTAGGTTAGTACTAGTTTATGTAGACATGCATCTAGATTTTCACTTTTTTCTTTTCCAAGACGACTGAAAAGTGCGAAAAGGCTAGCAAGAAAACGAATAATATAACTTTTCACTTTGTGGTTATTATTATTTGTATTTGCCACAAGTTTCTTTTAACTCAAGGATACTAACACATGCTGCGAAACATAAAAAGCTATCAGAAGGGTATTTATGAACGACACGTACGCTAGTTCTTAACCTATGTATAGTCACGTCTCTGGATCATCACTACCTCTCTGAGGGGCAGTAGGCTTCAGCGTTAAATGAATCCACAAACTGAATATTATTATTCGGATCACCCTGGTGAAGGTGCCTAATTAGGCATCCATGCCGTGCTATGCATGCCAGTCGGGCAACAAAAATTGCTAGCATTTTTATTGACCATATACAAAGCAGATGCAAACGGGCTGTTTGATGGTTGGCATATTCTTGAAGTTATCATATGATCTAACTCGTTCTTGGCACTGACACGTCTGGCACAACGAAATCCCAGAAAGGACACTAACTCTTGCGGCAATGTGTGACGAGATAACGGACCTTCATCACTGCATTCGTGATGTGTACTCTCCGGCTACAATTGCCACGAGATCTTGCCAACAGGGCTTTCTGTAGAGTTTATTGTGACGAAAGTTTCGTATTCGGGAAAACTGCAGGACCTCCTGAAATTTCTAGGAGATTTATGATAGATATTGTAGTACCAGATCATCACTGAGCTTGCTGTGCTATGCATGCCTCGCAACAACCAGTCAGTTTATGTCGGGCACTTATCACAGTACCAACAATCTTCCAAATATGTGTTCCAACTCCTTCAGTCTTGACTTCCGATTAGAATGGATTTGGGGTTCCAATCATAAAGATGTTATAGACAATAGCTTTGTCAAACATTGGATTTTCTTGACATCTTTATCCTAATCACTAGAAAGTGTTCAGTGAACAGGAGTATCATTATATGAAGAGAATCGAATACTCTATGTCTCTCAAGTCCCAGAAACCGAATGATAGCAAAGTGATATAAAATTGTGTTATTATTGTGACTGTGGATTGACAATTGTGTACAAATTTGTTTGGAAGTGTTAACCAAATTTAAATTGTGACCTATAACATCACATTATATCATTTCGTTAGTTAATTCAGTATATTTAACAAACAGTTTGATTGCTAATTAGCTGTGTTCAAAATTATATTAATTAACTAGGTGTCACAAGTAAACCAGTAATGAGCTCGAAATACCGTGTTATCAACTCCTAGTTTCGATTATCTGACTATTTCAATCTCATATCTGTGATTGGTGTCATTATCAAATGTGAATGCATGATGTATATCTAATGAGTCGTCGGTTTACAGATTTCCGTGGTGTTTATATCTGCCTGATGATCGCACACATTCTACTCATCATTCACTTTATATTAGAGGGATAGAATACACTATAAACCAAAAGCTGTAAGCCAAAATAGAACACCGACCAGTATCATTTAATATATGAAATCATTTTTAAGTCTATCGGAATACAAGTCTGTCACAAAAGATGTCTTCTTTAAACTATCTATGATTTCTAGCTATACCTATAGTTATTTTTTTGAGTTAAAACTACTGCCACATTTCAAAACACCAGTGCCGGTTAATGCAAAAAATAATTTTAATATAATCGTTGGAAACCTTTGTAAATTTTATGAAAACATCGCATAAACGTTAACCAATTTAGTGTTTATCTTTTTATGAAGGAATGCTCCAGCGAAGTTTAGTCCTTTAAATTTTTTAGGTTATATTGTTTTCACTTGAGAAATATGATAATGTATAATTTTATCTTAGCTTTTTGTGGGAGCATAAGTGATAACGGTATCGTCTGACTTCCAATTCTCAGTAGTCCAAATAAGCCTATGTTAAATCTAGCATTAATATTGTTGAAATAGTAGTGAAAAGTTTGAGTAATGATTTAGAATTTGTTTGACATAGTTGAAAACAATTTTTTTCAATTTCATTGCTGTACTATGGCAAATTTGCAGTGTTGATTAACAATCTCTTGATAGAGGTGATTTAATGAAGTAATATAATTTTAACTACTTATAAGTAGTTAAACTAAAGAATGATAATAATTGCTATTTGACGTCATTGCGTTAAGACTGCGGTATATTTATAGAAGTACTTATCTTCAAATTATTCACCTGATCTTTATTTAGTTATTGATAATATCTGAATAAATTAAAATGTTGACTTTGTGCTCCCTGTGAAAAACCAGTTAGTAGTAGTTAGTAATAGTAATCATAGTGATCTTAGTCATGATATCATACCATCTATTATTATTGTTACATAATATAACTCAAAGCAAAAGATATTTTAAACCTTACATGATCTACTTCTGCTACCACTAAAGATGTGGGAAGTGATAGATTAATGAATGGGTTAATTTCTCATATGTTCGATCAGTTACTGTAGTATTGTGCATAGATTCAGTCTAATATGTACTTGAATGTTAGACATGGTGTGACGTAAACATGATATCTTTGATATCGAATGGAATTAGCGGTGTCTAATGTTGAATCGCTAGAGATTAACTATGGAATGCTTTGTAGGAACAAACTGCATTGAGAATTAGGGGGACACATCGAAAGAATAAAACGGCAAGTGGTAACAACTGGAAAGGAGATAGAGCAAGTTGTAGACTATTGATCGGCACAGCCTATTATTTATGAGGAATGATAGGTGTAAGTGACTCAATAATGCTTCCACAAACTCTCTGGTTCTCGGTATTTTCATGGAATTTATTACAGAAAAAAGCTCAGTTACTGTCCAGAATACTGGTTTAAAGTACGGAGATTAGTAGAATACAGTAGTGAAACTGTATATTTTGAATCCATCAACGATCGTGTATGGAGAAAAGAAAACCGAATAATCCTAATTTTAAATATGTGGATGGGATCAAGAGAAACATATGAAGGGCATGATAATAAGAAATCTTTTTAATCGAAAGTATCAACTGGCTATTATGACCTGAGATGAAAGACTACCAAAGACAATAAACTAGCCTATATGATATGTTTACGAGCTTCATCTAATTATATATTAAGAGTATAACAGACGGAAGCTGTATACAATTAATGACAGAACAAATTTGTTTGTGTTTATGAGCATGAATCCCATACAGCTCATCCTCTAAATAAATGATGAATTCAGTTTAGCAACAAAAATCATCAGTGAGACTTCGATAAGTCGAGCAATATATATTTCAAAGGAAATCTCATTACCATCTCAAAAATCTGAAAATCGAACATAATAATCAGGTAGATCAGAAATTTTACTTTAAAACGATATCCATTTTGATACCTTTCTATGAAGGTATCGTAAACTAATATTTTGGGTCTGAAAAATACCATTGAGGTTACTATGCTTGAATTTCAAACAACAATCGTTCATCTCAATGCAATTTTTTCACTAAAAACTCAAGTTTCAGCTGATGTTAAGTTTAAAACAAGTTGCCGGTTCATAAACAGATCCTTTCCTGAGAAATGGGCACAATAAAAGCACAGTAAATCCGAAAACAAACATACACACTGACCCCTTCAACAAGCTCAATAGACTTAGTGACATACGTGCACATACGTACGCACGACACACATACAACCGCACACGCACGTGCATACGCACAGCTCTCACACAGACGCGGATTAGGGATCAACTGTTCGTTCGCACACTGGATTATCAATTTCTGAAACTGACATCCCTCTGAATTCCAGGGTTTATTCAAATCCTTCGTGGAGTACTTTGTAAATAGCTGTCATTTACACAACTGACGGAATCCCAATGGCATCCAATAATATGTACAGAGTCGGGGGTAAGTTCAGTTAATGTACAGGATAAATATTCAAGATGGCCGAATACTATAAAGATTTTGCAAATTTAACTAACATTCCGACTAAACTAACAGTTCTTGAGCAACGACTTCGAACGCACATTGTTGTGTCATTGTACACAAATCCATATATTTAAACTAACGAATCAGGTTGTATGACGTCTTGTCTTCATCATGACTAAGTAGCTCTACATGAGCCTCCATATATAAACTTTGATTGAACTTATATGGCTGAAGCACTTCTCCTCTTGATACACTTTCCTGCTTCTAATGATGAATTCCAAGCAACTTACGGCTAAAATGTAATACATGAAGGCTCTTTCAGCCGCTTCAGTTGTTGTATGTTTTGGAGGCTCATATAGGGAAATAGTAAGCAGTGCATCATTGACTACGTGAAATACTCATGTAAAATAAGGCACCTACCAGTTTTAACTTCCTTTCTGTAACACGTAATCCCGAAACCATCGAATAAAAATTCATGATTTCGTGAAACAATGGTAATAAAACAACAGATGGAGGAAATAAAATTTTGTCATAGTATGGTATCAAATACTTCTTTTCCTTTTCACCTATCTTTCATAGCTTCGTTTTCCCTTGGATATTCTCTATGAGATGTATAATAATTGCTTTCTCTAAAAATTAAGTAATTAGAATGACTTTTGCATTTGTTTCATAGAGGTACACAAAGATCGCTGTAAAAGTGAATGGCAAGGCAGTGCTATGCTATTTCTAAATTTCTTCTTTGGTTTTGACCAATCTTCCCTCGGTAGCCGACAGAAGCTACAAAGATAGCTTTCACCTAAGTGCATGTGTAGAAGTTAAATTTAAATAGACCAATGGCTATGTTAATCCTATCTAATGTAAGGTCCTGTATATTGGTTTTATTTGATAAATCAATTAAAGTTGCAAACAAGTTCGTCCTCGAGAGTTTGTTACTGTGTAAAACCATATGCTCTGGAAATACAGTTCGTTCTTGTCTTCTGAACTCACTTATCTGTTCATCTAAGTCATTCTCAGATGGTGGAAAGAGAAATACAAAACCTATCAAGTCCAAATTCATTTCTTTATATTTCTTACATGATGGTTCTCTGAACCTCTCTTATGGAGATATAGGTTGCTACACATTTTTGGCTTAGATCTCACCAACATTGCCTGAAGATTAAACATGTTTGGATTTGTTAAAGTTTCTAATTTATATACTGTAGTAAGATCTCTTAGCTGTGACTAAATGACTTCAACTTAGTTTCCAAGCTATAGCAAAGGAATGAAATAAGAGTTAGGCATGGAGATAAGAAGGTTATTAATATGTGTAGGAAAAATTTGATTGTTACTAGTTCGGACTCGTCTGCTGTTACGAGCACCATGTAAGGGTGTTTCTTGAGGAACCTGAAAAGGAAGTTGGATAAGTGTTTGTCTTAGAAACTTGGGAGCGTAAGCACACAGCTCAAGAGTCACCTCCGTAAGGCTGCTCACGCATACCCTATACGTAGGATGCTTTTGTGTTAGCTCCGCCCTTCAGAATGCCTTACGGGGGCGGAAATCCGTAGGGTAAGGTAATGTGTTACATTTTTAGGATCGATCTTTCCAAACCCCCTCCTTCCTTGTGAGATGCTGTTTGTCTGAGGGAAACACCTTATTGCTACCAAACCTCTCTACGGTCAGCATTATGACTTTACCTTCGGACCTTGAGTTGCTGCTTGTAGTCTTACCGTTCTCCGATCGACCTGCTTGTCATAGTAGAACCTACAGAAATATATGTTTCATCCAATATAGCTTGGTTGGGTCATCATGATAGGCAAGCCCGACCACTACATCAAGGTAGCAGCTACGGTCGGGACCTTCATCTTTCTCTTTTCAAATTTATTTCAGTAGATTATGCCCCTTTAATAACATCTTTAAACCCTAATCTTTCCGATTACTGCTCGTACTTCTACTACCTCTACCAATGTGGGATTTGAATTGACAGTTGCGTCTGTGTTCTAATGTTGTATGGTGACTTGAACTGAGGTACCTATGTCCGAAGTTCTCCGTTGTTGCTGACTGACTTACTAAGCTAAACCTTACTGTAGTTCTTAAAGTAGAGATATCTCATCAATTTTGTAGGTTATTTTCAATTAGAGTTATGGAGATTAGTGTTTTTACACATTATTGAAGTCATCAATCAATCATTGCTAGACCACCATTAGAAACCTGGAAGCACTGGGTGGCCGTTTCGTGGATGCGCACTGTTGATGAGTCCCATACCAGGACCATTCCAGGTTCGCGATATGAGATCTCATAACTAATTCTTGCTGCTAACCCCACTAAAACGAGGATCCGTGATCCATTTGAACAGATTCTTGGCAATTTTAAAAGTATTTAACTGCAGTTAAAGCCTAGGAGATGGAACCTAATTTCAAGACCTTTTTGAAGTCATCATAGATTACTACCGTAGATTTCCGTTTACTAGGGACTCTGTCCAACTCTCTTACTACGGGATTTTTCGCACACAGAACTCATTTCTGATGGCCTAGGGACTGACGAAATCTCAGTCCGAATACAAAGGAGTCAATTGGCTTTTGTCATCCTTCGTCACTTATGGCGCAGGCGAGGTGTCCGTCTGCTAACCAAAGGACGAGTGTACTGCGCAGCAGTTCGCTCCGTCCTACTCTATAAGTGTGAAACATGGCTAGTAAGAGTAGAGGGTATTCGTAGGTTACTGGTATCCTATCATCGGTGTCTTCAATGCGTTGCTCGTATATCCTGAGACCATCGAAAAAGCAATGCAGTTGTTAGGAAACAGGTACTAGGTAGGGATGGCAAATCGATAGACAAAGCAATGAAATTTCATCATTTGAGTGTTATGCATGCCCAACCACTGACTGCCTCAATGAGCGATGTTTTGTGGTGTAGGAGTAGGTTGGAAGAAAGCTAAGGGTGGCCATACTAAAGCATGGCACAAATCTACGAAGTCACTGACAACTGGACTGAGTCGTGTTGGTAAGTACAGACTACCTGGTTGGGGCCCGCGAGGCGATAGTAACCGATGGTTAGACGCCTTGGACGATATGGCTCAAAATCATTTACAATTGCGCAGTTGCATCCACCCTTTGTGTTCTCTCAAATCCTAGTCTTCTGGATTCGTCAACACCTCTACCTTTGTCTTTTCAAACTTATCTCACTGTACTATGCTTCTTGAATAATATCTTCAAATCCTAATCTTCTCCATTGCCAGTAATACTTCTACTATCTCTACCACTATGGGATTTGAGTTGACCCTTGCGTCTCTGTGCTAATGTGGTATGGAAAACTGAGCCTATGTACGTACGTACTAAGTTCTACGTTGTAACTGAATGACTTACTGATAATTCCTATATCTAAACAAGAAGTGGGTTTCTGAAATTATAGTGGTTTTCTAAGTGACTTTCTTCAAAATCTCAACTGTCATATTTGCAGGACCAACTGGTTTTGAATTCGGTATTTTCATTCTTTCTTGTGAGTCGGAATAATGTTCGATTATTAAGGTCTAGTTGTGAAGTACATTAACTAAGTGTAGATCAGTGGCTCTATGGTCATGTTGTATCACTAGTCCTCACTTTTAGTGAGCTTCGAGATAACTACGCAGACCTGTACCTTGCAAATGGGTCACTACCTTACGCCACCTAAATACTGTCATCAGAGGAGTACGTCAATCGATCATCATCAAGGTAGGGCTTGGCGCAGGAATGCACTGGCTCAGGTTTCCACACATTAGGACGACGAAATAAAACTAACAAGTTGAATGGCTAAATATTTCGGAATAATATAGTAGCAGTAATATTGAGAAAGATTGAACTATTTGTTCTCACTGTATGTTAAATAAAATGAATCCAGCTCCATTTAAAGTGACCCTTGATACTTACTCCTGTAATTTTTATAGATGACTAAATTACTTGAACACAACACACAGTGAGTTTCAAAATGCTTTTGTGGCCTACATCAGTCATTCAATCAGCAGCAACGTACGTATTGGTACTATATATTTATTTCAAGTCAACTGAATACTAGGTCTCCCCGGAAACTTCTAACATGAGACTATCAGTTATTGTTAAGTCTTATATGAAGGGTCTAACCCATAAGGCGATGAGTCAACGTAATTAGATGCTGTCCCATGGTAGCTGATGACCAACAATAAGTTTAAATACCGTTTGTTACCTCAGGATCTTGGATCCCGTTTGCGCCACTGATTTGGAATCAAGATTTTGCCCTAAGTGGTCTCTCTGTATCCACCGATACGATTTGCGCACCGGATATTCACTTTTCGTCCTTTCAATTTCGCAAGTAATACCCATGTTGAGTAAAAGCGGTGAGTAGTACTTCCCCGATAGTGGCTATATACGTGTGGTCATATGGAAGCATTTCAAGAGGGAAAGCTAACTGTCTTAACTCAGCCATACTAGAGCCTTAGGAGACACTTACCTTTTAGGCTCTCTAGAGTTCCAGTATTTTCATTGATTTAAATTTCAAGTGGACATGATATTTTATGCGTATCGTTGTCATGATAGCTCTAGAAAATAACCATAGTACTCAAAACCATTCGATAGAAATCGCATTACGATGTACTGCATTCTTATCAGTATTTATCTCAACTGTTTCTAGATAGTTAAATAGCGAAGATTGTTGACTACATCACACATCTTGAACCTCTGATTAGCCCTTGTTGTTACCTGACAAAATCTCACTAATTGTTCAAAGGTTTCACCTGACTTTTGGTCAATAGTGTCATTTGTCTTGGGCAAAGTGTCCGTCAGCTAACCAAGGAACAAGTATGTTATGCATCACTCAGCCCTGTAATACTCCATAGGTGTGAAATGTGGTCTATGAAAGTAGAGGACGTGTATAGGCTGAGAGTTTTTGATCATTGTTATATCTAAGGCATTAGTCATGCATCGTTGACAGACCTAATGAGCTATGTCATCATAGGGTACTAATAAATGGTGGTAAATTGATTGATGAAACTGCGA